ACCTCGTCGTTTGACTCGCGGGGTGCAAAAACCCCGCGATTGTCTCTTCCCTCACCTGAATCTACGAAAGATCGGGTGAGGCAGCCACTTTCCCCACGTCGTTCCTACCTCTTTCGTTCTCACTCACCATTAGAAAATCCCATCTCGTTGATGTCAGCGGCATTCCGCCCAGCGCATGTTTCCCAACCGCTGAGCAGACCGCCCGACATTTCTGACTGCCTCTCGATAAAACTTCGGAGACAAAGGAAATCGCTCAATAACTGATCTGACCAACCCTTTCACCTTTATACCCAACTTGAAGTCTGACGAGCAGCTAGCCCATCAGCGTTGTCACGACCTCCTCTCGAATTTCGACAAATGTTAGTACCCCGGTAATGTTGCGGTTCTCGCCACAACGTCCCAGCGTCACTCCGCTCGACAGTATCGCGCGCAGACCTGGCCTCTTTCTAAGGCTAGATTCAAGCAAGTGCAACCTACTTCGTATCAGTCACCCTTGAGCATAAGCCACGCTAAACCTCTCTCTATCGTCCCAATTTTAACAGGCGTCATGAAGGACTTAAAACGGGACCCACCACCTTTGGCGATTTTTTTTTTTTTTTTTACTGTGATAAATGACGTAAAAATTTATGCTTGTGTATCTTACATAATAGACAATCTAGAAATAAAGTTGAAAAAATAATAATTTGTTTTATGCCCCAAAATAAAGAAAAAACAAAAACTAAAAAAAAAAAAAAAACGAATTAGTGAGTGGGCAAGCAAGTTTTGACACCACCATCTTTGTCGATTTGTTACTTTTTTTTAGATAAACAGAATGCTTTGCAAATTAATACGGATATACCTTACATCAGAAAGAACTTACAGAAAAAATTTCAGGAAAAAAAAGAATATTTAGGTGTCGAGATATGTCTATTTTGCTATAGCATACGAGAAATGTCATCGGCGGGGTCACCTTTATGATTGCATTTTAGTAGTTTTCACACGTGGTTCGGTAGCTTGGCGGGGATACGTCTCTTCAAAGGTGGTGACAACCCCTTGGGGAGAGGTAAGTTGTGTCATCCCTTGTCATGTCGTAGGGGTTCGTTAGAGGTGCGGCTGACGCACTTGGTTGGAGTGGGGAAAACTCCACTGCGATAAAAAAGTCATGCAAAATTCTTCGTGACGCAGCCGGGAGGGTTCCCCTGTGCAACCAATGCGCTCAACAACGTACATCATCGTGATCCCCCTTCTTATGTATTAGCATAAAGAAGGCACGTCCAAATGATTCTGAAAGGTCCGAAATCAGTCTCCAGTTATGTATATCATTGAGAGGCGGTTAACGGATACCCTAATTTTTAGGCAACTTGTCATGCCATTTATAACAAAATCTAAGGGTCATTTTAACCAAACTTCCCACCAAGTCATATAATAGAGACCATAATTACTAACTGCAAAAAAAACCTAAAAAAATAAAAATAAAAAACTTATAAAACAGCAAGGCAAAAGTGCACTTTCAACCAAATTTCGCCAACATTCATTTTCATAAATCTTAAGAAATTTTATAAATTTAGAGAAATTTCAGAAATTCTAATAGAGGAAATTCCAATATTCAAAATAAAATAAAATTTTATACACAACAACCTTGAACCAAAACAAAAACACACGCAAAAAAAAAAACCGTAAAATTTGACCCCTTAACCATAATTTCAGTTTTGGACCTGTTTGTCAGAAGCTGAGACTGGGGGTCCCAGTTAATGTTTTAACAATACGATTAGTAACAATGTCACCTCTTAATCCATCTATATTAAGCTTGACATATATTTGAGAGATTTTGATTCTTAACTGGAGAAGGATTCATAATACGGGTGTATGACTTGAAGTACATATAAATAAATTTTCATATGAATATGAATTATATGATGAAGTATACAATAAATAAATATATTAATATTAATTTATCAATCTATGAAAATCATTTTGAATATACTGAATTACAATGGGGAATGATTCATAATATGGGAGAGGCGGTTAATGGAAGGCCCAAAATTCGGCAATTTTGGCGAATTTATCACTGAAACTATCATATTTCCCTGAATTTGTACTCTTTTGTCAGCTTTTCTTTTTACCTGTTATATATGTGCTTTAGGGTAAATTTTTATTCAGTTTCGCCATATTTGAAGCAGTAACAAAAAACTTAGCAAAAACAGCAGACTTAAAAAAAACTTTGGCGAACTCCGAAAGTTACTCCGAATAGGGATTTATAGTGCTCTTGAGTTTAATTTTTTCGGTTTTTTTTTGCCTGATTGTTTTTTTTTTATGTTTGTATTATGACCCTGCATAGTTTGTTCGCAAAAGTTTCGACAACATTACTTGTAGCGACGCGGTGAAAACCCCCGAATTTTTGGCCTTCCATTAACTCTAGTGATTCATTGATATATTAGTATTTTCATAATTCATTCATACAATGGAATTCATAAAATACAATAATATGTGTATCATATTTGATTTATCAATCTATAAAAAATATGTTTTTGAATATACAGGCTATCATTCAAGTTGTATGTAGATAGTTGAACATATGAATTACCCGGGGAATGACTCGACCCAATCTATCCGCCAGAGCCTTATCCGAAGGGTGACGCGGTCCAATCTGTTCGCCAAAGCCTTATCCTGGGGGAACACGACCCAATCTATCCGCCAAAGTCTTTGTCAAAATTTTATAGTCTGTGTTGAATACCGAAATCGGTCTCCAGTTATGTATATCATGACGATCCCCCTTCCTATGTACTAGAATCAAGAAGGCTTGTCCAAATGATTCACACACACACACACACACACACACACACGTGCACACACACACACACACACACACACACACACACACACACACACGTGCACACACACAGAGAGAGAGAGAGAGAGAGAGAGAGAGAGAGAGAGAGAGAGAGAGAGAGAGAGAGAGAGAGAGAGAGAGAGAGAGAGAGACTGCCGAATGCCAAGCAACCAACAGGTATCATTATGAGTCGGGTGCTGAATGCGTCCAAATTTAGAACGCATTCTCCACACCTGTTCGCTTGAGCCGCACACGCCATTTGGGATAGGACTTGGTTTGCTCGCTTCACATTTTTGTTTAGGGGTACCCCGCACAACTACCTGGAACCAACTGCCCCACCCCCCAAAAAAAACGCCCCCAGCAACGTTGACGTTGACCATTGAAAGCACTCAATTGTATAAAAATGCAACCCTCCGGGCTGCTAACACGTTGTCACCCTCTTAAACCATTAGTACTTGGCTCATACATAGGCACGGCCCCTTGTCATATACATGCCGCGTTAACCAGGCTTCGGGCCTACTGGACCACAATGGCTGGCAGCACCAACCAAGCGAAAAAGGGCCCTTGTCATATACACGCCGCGTTAACTGGGCTCCAGGCCTACTGGACCACAATGACCAATGCCTGGCAGCACCAGCCAAACGGAAAAAAGGTTGCGCTGGATGTTCTACAAAGCTTGACGCGCATGGCTTTACCAGCATAGGAGAAAAGTGCTTTGGAAGTACTGGTGGTTAAAAAAAGTGAAAAAGGAAGAAAATAGGTCGGATGAATGTGTCCCTCCAAGGGATGTGGACAATTTGGTCCGTTGTTTTCCAGTACGCAAGAGAAAAAGGGCGGGTCCCATTGCCAGTCTCATGAGACTAGTTACACAAGAAAGTGGGACCTCTGCAGACAGAGGTACAACAAGCAGTAGTCCGAGCGTCCCAAGACGAAGGGTGCTTTTCGAGGGGCACGGTGGGAATTTTCCCATCTTTCCCAGGGTATTTCTGAAGCTGTACGTTTTTCCTTCCTTTTTGACAGGAACCTGCCGAGCGGTAGGCCCATTCATCTTCCCGCCTCAAAATTCCACCACCGTAGCCAGGATTGCTCCCTCCCACTCTCGATTATGAAGATCGGGCTCCTTCCCACTCTCGATTATGAAGATCGACGGCCAGAGACGGACAACAGGTGTAACTGAGACGGACAGTAAGTGCAACAATTGAGTAAGTGCAACAATTGAGTAATCTTCTTCTTCTTCTTCTTCTTTTTTTTTTTTTTTTTTTTTTTTTTTTGAGTAATCGTAACAATTGAGTAAGCGTAACAATTGTGGCCGCCGTCTTTGGGTCTCGCCACACCACTCTCGAAATGTGGAAAAGACAAAAATGTGGCGGGTGCATCTGGCCATGTTCTAGCAGGCAGTTCATTCGCATTTTGCACATTTCGAGGGTGGTGTGGCGATGCCCTTCGCCTCGTGCTGTCATTGTTGAAAGGTGGTTGAGAGGGGTCATGACTGTGATCGAACTGCATTCAAACTACAGTAGCGGTAGGCCTCAAACGGAACGGAGAACTGTAACGAGCAATTCATCAAACGGTGGAGCTCTTCTCTGCTAACGGTCCTTCACCAAAGCAGATTCAACGATCATAGTTCTGGCCCTTCTGGGGAGATAGATCCGCCAGCCATTGCCCTAATGGGAGTCGCATACAGTCCAAAGAGGACTCTCGTAATTAGGGTCACTGACTGACATCCCTGACTGTAATAGCGCCCACAGGTCGCCGTGACATGCATCCGGGAAAGACCTCTTATGAGTATGGCCGAGTGTAAGGAAGGGTTCAAGAAAGAGCAAAGGGCATAGTCGAAGTGCGATTTCGTACCCTGAATGTAGCGGAAAATGCGGTTAAGTGCGTCCAGTGAATTCCCAGTGTGGGTATACCCCGAAAAAGAAGGTCGAAGGAGTGCGCGAGTGCTAGGAAGAGTAAGAGCGGAAGAGTGTAAGCACCAGGCGCATGAAACTCACCAGGTTCACGCGAACTTGGCATAAATGTAGCACCTTAAGAATCTGAAGGGTTTACGGAAGACGGGCACTCAGGAAGGGTTTAAGGAAGGAGACGGCGGGAAGAGTGCCGCGAGTGCAAGATGAGCGGTCCAGATGGGTGTAAGGAAGGAGGCTATAGTGTAGTGCCACGGTTGCAAGATGAGCGTTCAGGATGGGATTAAAGAAGGAGTCTCCGATGGAGAGTACAACTGTCGAAACAGTCGAAGGGCTTATCATCTTCAGATGGTACATGCCAGTGAAGCTCTCTCTCTCTCTCTCTCTCTCTCTCTCTCTCTCTCTCTCTCTCACACACACACACACACACACACACACACACACAC